CCTTCTGATTTTATCACAATCCAATTAATCATCGTATATTTATAATACTAACTTCTTCACCTCAAAATTAGATCTGTCAAGTGTTTAAAGTACTTTAGTCATTCAATGTTTTGTAAATATAAAAATAATCATTTTAAAATGTATATTTATAATTAAAATAATACTTAAAATCTTTTTTTATTATTAAATTTTATTTTGTTCTAATTTTTTTAGTGAACGGTTATGTCAAAGAACGAATTATTAGAAGAAAACATTGCTAAGCAATTAAAAAAATAAAAACGAGTTACAAGCTAGTAAAAAAGCTTTAATTGAAAGAAAGAAGGAGAAGAATAAAAAAATTTTAAGTTAATCAGAATATCAAAATGAATTTGTGATTATTTGTGACCTAAAGAAATGTGACTTTATGTTAATTATTGCTATTATTTATATAATTTTATAAAAAAGTACCAGTTAAAATTATATTGTATGTTTAGTTTTGTTAAAGATGTCGTTAATACTTCAAAAGTACTGCATAAATTTAATTACATACATGTAGTTTACAAAATTACTTATAATTATTTCAGCGGTGAATTAATTGGAGAACGGTCGGTCATATTTATTGGGTTTCTTCGGTCAATAATTGGTGATTTTAGTATTTCAACATTCAAATAACAAAATTAATAATTTAATATTAATTATTATTAATTAAGTATTTAATTTTAATAAAATCCATTACAAATTGTTTTTAGTAGGTTAATAGATTTTTTATAGCTTGGTACAGAGAAAGAAAACCTTAATCGGTCAATAATTGGTGCATTTACCCTAATTTTTTCAATAAAAAAAAAATTATAAAAATTTTTAGATGATGGCTAACTTAATTTTCACAAAAATTAGCAATGTAAGAAAATTTTTTATTTAAATTTTAAATAAATACAGTTTTTCAACGTTTGGTGGCGCTACTGGTGAAATTTAAATAAAAATAATATTTAGCGGCTAAAAACGGCGATAGTCAACTCAGCTGTTGTGCTGTTGAGTATAAGAGCGGTAAGAGAGCGTCAGTGATAGTCATTATTTATAAAGAGATTGTAAAATAAATAAATATATTTATATTTTTTTTACATAAATATATTGTTGACACAGCTAAGATTAATCAGTGATATAGTTTATAAAATTTTTGTATAAAAGAAAAATATTTTTAATCATGGCCAGTCAAAGTAGTCAACTAGATTCTTTGAACATTTATTTTGTTGTATTTTCTAAGTACGAAAATGAACAATCTTGCTCTGAGGATATGTGGGATGCATTTAATGTAAGTTTTTATTTTATTTATTAATATGTATTTTTTTTTAATCTTTGCAAAATACTAACTTTATTTTAATGGTTAGAAATGTGAGGACAATAACCTACAACCACGCTGGGTCACAGAGGAGGAGTGTAAGAAAATGGATCCAACAAAAACCGACATTTTTGTGCTGGAAGAATTTGCTGGAGAAATTTTTCAATATTTACAACGTTTCAGGTGCTTGTAAGTTTTATTTTGACCCTTGGGAGGTATGCGTTTTCCAGCGCTTGATTGGTACACTGGCTGTATCGTACTAGACCTGTTTGATTTTATTACACAACACTAAAATCAGTTGATATTCAAACATTTTTTAATTTGATTAAAAGGAAAAGATTATTTATTAAATTAAAAAAAAATATATATATATATTTAAGGCAGCCAAATTATAGTTTTTTGTAATTTCTACATGCCAATTTTTTTTTCATGATTTTTTTTGTCGAAAAAATTAATTCCAGTGTCACAAAATTCTTTTTAGTACATTGATATTTCGGATTATTTTATTATTTTTTATGGTACTAAAATCTACAAAGATCTGAAAATTTTATGGATTTTAAAGAAAAAAAAACTTATCACAAAAAAAAATTTAAATGTAGCAAATCAAAAAAATTATGAATATAAATTTGTTAAAAAAATTTTATACAAAATATCAAAAAAAAGTATGAATATAATAAAAAAAAAAAAAAATATTTTATAAATAATATCAAAAAATTATCAGATGTTTGCTGATTCAAGTGTCAATATTTTTACTAAATTAGATTAATGTTATTCGCGTTCTTATCCATGGTTCATAATATATTAAAACGGTTCTTATTTTTAGGATATTTAATATTTGATGTTTATTTAATTTTCATAGAACGTTTTGCCACTTTAGCAGCTTCATCAGGTACTACAACAGATAATAATCATAATTACAATCCAATTGGCTCCCCGCCTTTAATCCCGCTAAAATTTCTTAGCAAAAATTTCTCACAATTATTGACAATTAAGTACAATTATTTCTTAAAGAAAACATTTCCCTTTTATCATGGTTTTGGTGTGAAAAAATATTGTACAAGAAATTATTGCTGACAATTTTTGTCGCGAGAAATTTTTGCATGAGAAAAAAGAGACAGTCACCCTCCAATTATTATATACAAAAATAATACCAAATTAGTAATAATTTAAGTAACAGATCAAATTAAACTAATTTAAATACACTAGCAAAAATTATCTCAATTATGATTATTGTCTGTTGTAGTGCCTGATGAAGCTGCGAAAGTGGCGAAACGTTGTATGAAAATTAAATAAACATCAAATATTAAATATCCTGAAAATAAGAACCGTTTTAATATACTAAATTAGATATTTTAAAATGATCAGTGTACCTCTCAAGGGTTAATATTAAATTAATATTAAAAAATAATTTATTCTAAAGAAAATATGTATAATTTATTTTTAGTAGAATAGTCGGCCCACCGTGCCTGCTCCGCTGTTTCTTGACCTGCGATGCGATCCCCGAGGGCGAGAGCCCAGTATACACAACTGCCATGCAAGGCTTGGTGATTACTTCATCCGGATTCACCGTCAAAGAAAAAGAGGAAATCCAGAAACTTGTGGAATACATGGGTGGAATTTACTGCAGAGATTTGCGTGGATGTATCACTCACCTGGTTGCAAGCTCAACAACGTCTACCAAATACGAGATGGCCTGCAGTAAAAACATCCCTGTATTCAAGTATGATTGGATAAAACAAGTTTGGGAGGAGAACCTCAAGACTTTTGTCAAGGCTACCGAGCCTTGTTTCGACAGATATAAATGTCCGGTATTTTTTAATATTGTCGTCACAGCCTCCAATGTTGGAAAAAAAGACAAAGAAAAAATAAAAGATTTGATCACTAAGCATGGAGGTGAGTTTATGGGACCTCTTGACGGCTCAAAGGTCACCACAGTTATCACAAATGAATTTTCCACCAAAAGCGAGAAAATAAAATATGCTATCACGCATACTTTGCCGTGCATTAAACAGGAATGGGTCTTCAAAAGTGTTGAAGCTGGATATGCACTGCCGTACCACGACTATCTGATCACTCCCAACAACAATAGTATGAAGTGCTCGACACCCGAGCCAGGATCTACTCAACGTGTGCAAGAGCCTTTGGACTGCTCAGGCGTGAGCATAATTCCCCATTCTTCCCGCAACTTCATCGACGACACCATGCAGTCAACAATAAGCTCTGTGCCAGAGTCCGGATCGTTGACACCGAGTTATGTTGGAGTTCTGGAGACTCTTGACGTGAAAAAAGCCAAAAAAGCGGGACCTTTTCTCGACGGTTGTAACATTTACCTCGCAGGATTCGTCACCCAGCACCGGGACAAAGTAAACAAGATTTTAAACGCCGGCAGCGCTACGAGGTTCGATGACTTATCAGACGCTTTGTCTCACGTGATTGTTGGTGATAAGAGCAAAGCCGCCAACGAATTAAAGCTCATTGAATCCAAAGGCTTGAGTCCGCACATTGTGACAGTCAGTTGGCTGCAGGAGAGCATCAATCTTAAGAAACCTGCGCCAGAAGACGCGCATAGCTTTGACAAGCAAGTGACTGGCCGCAAGACCACGGAACCTGCCTCGCCGCTGAGTAAAAAAAGCATCCAAATGCTGCAAAAGCCGCGCAGGCCACCGGTACCAACCTTTAGTTTCAACAAATCTCAGGAAGAGGAGCCGGATATTGTTCAGCAGTATCTCAATAAGACGAGCGAGAAACTTCCAGAGCCGGTTTTTAATGATAGGCGCAGCGAGGCGAAAACTAGTTCAAGTCGGAATCATGTCTCGAGAACTGCTTCGGGGTCCAGCAAACTCGCATCTCGTAGTTTAGCTTCCGTGTCGCAGAATAGCGAGAGTAATGTTACTCAATCGACAGCTCCCGAGCAAATATTTGAAGGATTGGTTTTCTTGGTGCTCGGGTATGATGATGAAGAGTTCCACCAGATGAGTGCGACTGTCCAGGCTGTTGGTGGTAAAGTTGTTCCTAGCTCTTACAAAGGTATTCCGGACTTTGCAATTGTACCTGTTGCTGGGACGACAGTTAAGCACACAGTGAGTGAAATTGTGACGCATCTGTACATCGAAGAATGCATAGAATGTGAAAAAATTGTTGATATAATGTACTACCACAGGCCGCTATCAATCCCTGCGGATGCAAAACCGCTTTCAGAATGTGTGATTGCCATAAGTTCCTACGGTAGTTCTGAAAGATACTATCTGCAGGAGTTAGCAGTAGCTCTGGGTGCTAATTATCAAGATACTTTCGCCCGGAAAACTAATGTCGAAAAGAACCAGTTCGCAGGAACTCATTTAGTTTGTGTAGAACCAACTGGGAGCAAATACAACGCTGCTGTCAAGTGGAATCTTCCAGCAGTGACTGCTGACTGGTTGATAGCTTGTGGCGAGAGACTTGCTCTCGTTGATGAAACTCCGTTTTTAGTCGGGATAACAGTAGCTCCAGTTCGCAAACCTCCAGAGCAACTGATGGGTCCACCTACTACTCCAGTGGCAAGGCAAATTCTCACGCCGAAGCGTCGCTTATCTCAGACTCCAGGCTTGGACACTCCTCTAATCAACAAGAGGTTGAATCTAAGTGGTCATCAAAACTCTCCAAGCTCGCCTTTCCATGTCAACACACCACGAACGCCTTATGGAGCAACTGTAGAGCCTAATCCTTCGGCAAGCTTAAAGAAGAGTATCTCCAAGTGGATCAGCGATTGTCCGAAAAATAAAACAGAGGCTCCAAGACCGCGCGCTCCTAGCACTCCGTTGTCGGAGTTGAAGAGACAGATCTGGTCAGCGGCGAAGAAATCAGCGGGTGTTCTCCAACAGTCTGTAGACCTGGATCAGGATCCTGAAGAACAGTCTTCGATTCATTCTCCACTTAGAGTGAATTCTCAGTCGAAAATTGAGACTCCGCAAAGAGATTCTTCAAGGCTTAATTCTACTCATTTGAGTGGTAATGATGATTCTGCTCATATGAGCTACGAGGAAGAACCTGGGGAACCTGTTCCGAAGCAGTTGTTCGCAAATGAACTGGAAACTGAAAATAATCCTATCAACGAGCAGTTGGAGCACATGAACAAACTGCTGAACTCTGCTCGTGGGAGCTCCACCGAATCCAGGTACTCGCTCAATGAGAACAGAGCTTATGATGAACCGAAAGAACACACGAATTATTTGGTCCCGGACACACAGCCGGAAAGTGTTGGCTGGGAGGACCCAAATCCACCGAAGATGACGTCCACGAAATTGGTAACCAGTAGCTTGCAAACACCCGAGAGCTCGCTTGTGTCCTCGAGACTGGAAATTAGCATCCGCGATACGCCAAGGAGAAAGTTCATGTTGTCGGGTGTGAAGAACAAGACGAGCTACGAAGAAGCTATCAGGCAGCTGGGTGGTGAAATATCCTCAGATGCAAACTTTGACCCAACTGCCACGCATCTGCTGTGTATGAAGCCGTCGAGGAACGAGAAAATGCTGGGAAGTATCGCTTCGGGTAAATGGATACTACATTGCTCATATATTCGCGTCTGCGAAAACGCTGGGGAGTTCGTTGACGAGGAAGAGCATGAGTGGGGCAATCCCAAGTGTATACATTCTAAGGAATTGGGTAATCAGCAAGAAATTGACCTGGCTAAGGCTGCTTACCGATGGAGGATTAATCTGAGGAATAAAAATAGCGGTGCTTATGAAAATATGGTCGCGATTCTGATGGTGCCCAAGGAAAAATACCAGCAGTTTGAGAGACTGATCAACGCTGGTGGTGGTATCGTTGTGCCGGCTAAACATCCTTATGATAGTCCTAAGGGTAAAAAGATTACCCATTGCCTTATTCAAATCAACAAGGTTGAGCAGCCTATTGACTGGGCGATGCTTGCCAGCAAGGGGATTTTGTGTTTCTTACCCCATTATTTAAACTTGTTCCTGACGGAAGAAAAAACTTTGAACCCTCGGGACCATGTGATTTCGGACTTTAAGAAATATCTGTCTCTTCTTCCCAAGTGAAGATTTTGATTTGTACTGGATATTTAATGCTTTTGTAAGATATTTGTATTTCTATTGATTTTTTTTTTTTTTTTTAATAATTATTGTTTATCAGAAAATTCTTGTTTATTCATTTTATAACCAACGACAATTAATATTTTTTGTAATATGAATAAATTAGTATTAGACATTAACTTTATTTATATAGAATTCAGGTTTAAAAAATAATTAACAATAATGAAATTTATAAAATTAATAAAACTCTAATTGCATTTAAATTTTTATACGTCACAGTAAATTTTATATGTAATATCTCTGTTAATTAATATTTAATCGATTGAATTTAATTTTAGATAAATAAATATTCAATTTGTCACAGCTATTTGATTTAAAAAAAAGTCTGTAAAGTCGATTTACGGACGATAGTTTTGATGTAATAACGCCATAGAGAAATAATGATGAAAAATTGCATAATTTTATGAATTGAATTGAATTATTATTATTTCGTATTTAAAAATTATTTTAACAAAAAACACGGAAAGAAAAATATAGGAACTATTCCCAGAATTATGGGAACATTTCCCATAACGATGGGAATGGTTTCTTTAATTATAGGAATGATTCCTGTACAATTATAGGAACCATTCCCATAATATTATGGAACTATTCTCATAATATTATGGGAAATATTCCCATAATGATATAGTAATGGTTCCTATATCATTGTGAGAACTATTCCCATAATGGTATAGGAAGGATTTCTAGAATGTTATAGGAAACATTCCAATACCATTATGGGAATCATTCTCAAAATAAAATAAAGATAAAATCTTGCGGAGTGAATTCGAAATGATTCCTATATTACACGGAAAAAAAAAAAAATTTGGACTGGCACATGATACATTTCTGTATTTGATTTTTTCATGGGGTAACCACATGATTTTCATGTGACAGCAACATAATTTTCATGTAGTAGGCAATAATAGTTAAAACAACAATAATGATTAAATACTAATCATAATAATCTATATTATTAAGAGAATAAGAAAAATTTTGTGGCCAGTGTATTTATATGATAAAATGGGTTTTTGCTTGGAGTTGTGCCTTTTCAAGATTTCATATGATTCTCACCAGTAGTCAATTTATTATAATAAAAATTTAGGCTGCATTCGAAAATGCTCTGTGTCTAGATACATAATGATGAAGTGACCTTGCATCTAATAAACTATTGACATTTTTGAAGATATAAGCTCATCCCGATGTTACACTCATCAAGAGCTTTCATTTGAATACCCACATGCATTTTGATATATTTTTCACATATACATATATATAATATGTATATAATTATATAAAATATATGAAAAGTTGATGTGGGTACTCAAATGAAAGGTCTCGATAAGTGTAACGTCGGAATGAGCTTATATCTTTAAAAATGTCAATAGTTTATTAGATACAAGGTCATTTCTCAATTATATATTTAGAGATAGATTTTCGAATGAAACCTAAATACTTATCATCATAAATTGACTATCGACGAGAATGATATGAAACCTTGAAAAGACACAAATTCAAGTCAAGTCCTTTACAATGACACTAAATTTCACTAAAAAAATCGATTTCATCATATAACTATCCAGGAGACAAAATTGTTCTTACTCTCTTAATAATATAAATTATTATTATTTAATTATCATTGTTGTTTTAACTATTATTGCCTGCCACATGAAAATCATATATCTGCCACAGGTATGTATCATATGGCAGCCCCAATTTTTTTTTTCCGTGTAGGATTTAAACCTATATATTGTGGGAATTATTCCTATAATATCATAGGAATAGTTCCAACAATGTTATAGGAATAGTTACTATAGTGGTATAGGAATAGTTCCTATAATATTATGGGATTAGTTCCCATAATGATATAGGAATAGTTCCCATGATTTTCTTTCCGTGAAAAAGTACTTATTAATACATTGTTAATTAAAAATTGATATAATGATTTGATGAATGAAATAATTATTAATATTATCAATAATTATAATTTGATATAATTTGACATGAATATTTTTAAAACTAGTTAAAATTATCAATTTTTAATTTTCAAATATTATTTACAATTTTTTAAAATTTAATTTAAATAATTTGCTTAAATATAATCACGAACAATTAGTTATAGAACAATATTCAAATTGCTAGCTCTGATGTCACGCGAGAAGAGAGATAAATGTGTCACAAGCCAACACTTTTGGGCCGATTGTACGCTCAGGCTCAGGCGAAACGTGACACTTTTTCATGCATGCAGCCGGTGTTTATCGATTTATAAGACCTTATCACGTCAAAAAATCATTAAGCCAAAGTTTTCTTATTCATAATTCGTAAATCTTGGCAGTCGCATATAGTGACTGTAGGTTGTTATACTAGTTGTACTTAAACATTAAGTTTCTTGAAGTATAAGTGAATACCATTCGCAGGAGTTGTGAATATGTTACGTGTACTTATTTCGGTTTTGTAGTTTGGATTCACAGACACTTCATAGCCTTGGAGGATTCTTATTAGACCAACTGCTGTTTGCAGCATTCCCACGCGAAATGCTTCAATAAATAATCATTACTTAGTAAGTTCATAATAATAATAATAATAATAATAATAATAATAATAATAATAGTAAATATGAATTATATATAGATTGTAGTAAAATTATAGAGTTACCGATACAAATCCTTGGACCTTCACCAAACGGTAGGAACGTACAAGATTCTATGTCATTTTTCCTTTCTTCACTAAACCGATCTGGATCAAATTTTTCTGGGTCTGGGTGAAACTTTGGATTCCTATGAACACCTGGCAATGGAATGTAAATCGCTGTTCCTTTTTCAATAATGATATCAGTGTCGGGAATCTACAAATTTATTTCATTAATCATTTATTTATCAAATATAATTATCAAGCCAACAATTGAAAAATAAAACTAGTATGTACTTTATAATCTTCGGTGGCTACACGATCTATAATCGGAGCAGGTGGATATAATCTTAGAGTTTCATTTATTACTTGCATAAGATACTTCATATTCTGTATCGAATCGTATGTTAATCCGCCAAACTTGTTCAAGTTATCAATTATTTCAGTGCGCACGCGATTTTGGAGATCTGGACGTCGGGCTAGTTCATACAATGCGAATGAAATTGTCACTGAACTTGACTCCAAACCGGCTATGAAGAATATTGCTGATTGTGCTACAAGGCTGTCACCTTCAAATCCTGGTGATAAAAATTTCACATTCTTTAGATAAAATGATTGACAATTAATATTTCTACATCCAAAATTTGGTAATGTTTTAATTTCACGGTTCACAATAGGGTAAATGCACCAATTATTTACCGATTAAGGTTTTCTTTTTCTGTACTAAGCTATAAAAAATCTATTAACCTACTAAAAACAATTTGTAATAGATTTTATTAAAATTAAATACTTAATTAATAATAATTAATATTAAATTATTAATTTTGTTATTTGAATGTTGAAATACTAAAATCACCAATTATTGACCGAAGAAACCCAATAAATATGACCGACCGTTCTCCAATTAATTCACCGCTGAAATAATTATAAGTAATTTTGTAAACTACATGTATGTAATTAAATTTATGCAGTACTTTTCAAGTATTAACGACATCTTTAACAAAACTAAACATACAATATAATTTTAACTGGTACTTTTTTATAAAATTATATAAATAATAGCAATAATTAACATAAAGTCACATTTCTTTAGGTCACAAATAATCACAAATTCATTTTGATGGCCAGATTTAATTCTAAGGTTAAAGAAGTTTGTATTATAAATATACGGTCCTTAATTGGATTGTGATAAAATCAGAGGGTCTAATAAATGACCGAATGAATTTTTTTACTGGGTAAAGGGCTTCTGACGGGATCCAATAGTTGACCGGTCTTAAAATAATATTGAAACTTATAATTTAACTTTATTTTTTCAAAAAAGTTGGAATCTGATGTTTAATTAACATAATAAAACTAAAATATTTGATATTGTGCCGATAAATATCACTAAATTAATTATGAAATGCACTCACTCTCCAATTGTACGGTAGTTATTTTTGACCGCTTTATGGCTGGTTGCGTTGTAAACAAACTCAGAATATTTTTTTAAAGCTATAATCACTGCGCAATTAATTGCGTAATTTTTTATTATGATGATTAAATGCCATATATTTTTATTTTAATAGTTTAAGAAAAAAAAACCCTTGTAAAATATTAATTAATTAACTTTTTTATACATCGGTCAACTAATTGGTGACCGGTCAACAACTGGTGCATTTACCCTATTACGAAAAAATAAAAAAAAAATTCCTTTGGAAAAAAATGAGCAATTTTGTATTGAAAAATTAATTTGTTGAAAATTTTAAACAATTTTATTTTTCAGCTTAAGAAATCAAAAATTTTTCTCATAACTTTCTTGCTGTAAAGTTTTCTAAATTTTAGAAAAAAAAGTTTTAGATAAAAATGCAAAAGTTCTCTATCTAAAATTGTTTTTTTCAAAATCAAAAAAAAATTTTTTCAACCAAAAAGTAACTGAGAAAAATTTTTATTTCTTCATCTAAAAAATAAAATTGTTGAAAATTTTCAACAAATTAATTTCTTGTCATAACTATGCCATTTTTATTTTCAAAAGAAACTTTTTTTTTTCGATGAACAGCTCAAAAAAATTATACCTAAAATTTTTATATTGCACAATTACAATAAAATGGAATAATTAAAAAAAAAATTTTTTTTAAATTGTAGAAAATCAAAAAGTTTATAATTTTGAAAAATCTGCATATGATTTTTCTAAGAACTAAAAGCTTTAAAACTAATTAAAAAATTTGTTTTTATTATTATTAACGTTAAACCCATCTTAAATTAACTGAAAAAACAACTCACGAAATTGTGCATCTTGTTTTTCATTCTTCAATTTAAGTAACGAATCCATAACATCGCCTCTTTCAGTTTTAGATTTTTCGCGAGCATTCATTGAAGTCCAAAAAACTTCACGGAAGTAGTCAGTATTTTTACCAAAAAATGAATTGTTGAATAACCTTGAAAGTGATGGGAAGAAAAATGCACTAAATATTCTTATAGCGAACCCGATATTGAAGTTTTGTTGTTCCCGACCTGCAGAAGAATTTACAAAGTAAGTAATAAAAAATTTATAATTTTTTTTTTTTTTTTCCAACACTAAGCACTTACTTCGCTTATAAAATTCTGGTGTAGGTTGATCAAATGAGTTAGTGCTGATACCAAAAGCCAGTGACGCGACGATATCAGTAGTATACATAGTGCTAGTGTCTTTAACTTCAATGCTTTGAATTTTATTTTTATCATCAGCAAACTTTTTATCCAAATAATTCTTCATGTTGTCAGAAGTCTCTACCATCAGATGAAACAACTGCTTGAGTTTTCCGCTGGTAAAAGTCGGCGACAATTTGGTCCTGATGTATTTCCATTCGGGATTGTTTATCGAGAAGAGATTATCAGTGCCCAGTTTATCATTCCGGTTTCGGGAAGAAAAGTACCGATTTTGGAAGAAATTAAAGTCCTTGATAATCATCTGTTTTATTATTTTAGGATCTCGCAGTATCAGGAAGGGCTTGTGCATGATGTAGATCCCCAAAAAAGGAGGATCACCTTTGGCTTCATTATAAAGTCTTCCCAGAAGATATCCCGGTGAGACACGAAGCAGCATAGCATCTTTGAAGTTTCCGAAGATTAAATTTGTCGGCAGAGTCGGAACACCACGTTGTTGCCAATAAGTTAGCTTGTACTTCGCCCAAACATAGAAAATACTTGCTAAAATAGCAAATGTAGTTGCTAACATCAACAACGGACTTTCCATTGTAACTTCACAAGCACTGACAGCAGACTGGAGTAAGTTTAAAAGAACCAAAACAATAATGATAAACTGATAACTGTCCACAGATATCTGTTATCTTAAATGTAAATATTTTCAATGCTTTGAAAATGCATATCATCATCACGTTCAATGTTCAATTGATGTATGAATTGCAACTTCGAGCTATCATTAATTATTACATTAGTCATACTTTAGTTTAGCATCAGCATATAATATTTCTGTCAGTCGCAATTCACTGTCATCTTGAATCGTTATATAACTTATAGCGTAAAAAACTAATAGCATGCCGTTTATATATTCAATTGAATGATTGAGAATAATTACTATAATTACAAAATAGTTTCATAGTATCTATAAAGAAAAGATAGATTTAAGAAATTTTTTAACAAATTTGAAAAAAAAAAAACGAAAAAAAAATTTTTTAGTAATTTATAATTGATAGTTTATCATCACTATTTTGTTCTTTGTCAAAAATATAAAAAATTTAGAAGGTATAGAAAAATTCTGTCCTATTAATATCAGTATTGAGATACTCAGGTATCTCAACTTCGATAATAATTATTAAAACTCAGAAAAAAATAAAAGTAGGAATTAAAATAAAATTATACTTATTTTGTATATTTTTTTCCGCTGAACTCAAATTTAACGTTTGACTTTTATTAATTTTTCGTTTAACGTTTGAATTTTAAGTTATAGTCTATTCAACAAGTGCTTTTTTGGTCAACTTTTTTCAGCAGTCTTCAAAAATTATGATTGAGGTGTCATTCGAATTAGAATAGTATCTAGATGATTTTTGAAAAAAATGAAGTTCCGCTTGCAAAAATTGCAAAAGTTATAAAAAATTAATTAAAAAAAAGGGGGGTTCAGTTTTTTGCAAATATCTCAAAAACTAATAAATATTTTTCAAATTTAAAAAAAGATTCAAAAAGAGGAGGAAATTTTTCAAAAAAAGATCCCAGAGGGATGAAAATACGGCCGAAAACGGGTGCGTAAGCCACGCCTAATTTGGACACTTAATAAAAATAAATAAAAATTATTTTAACATATTAAATAGAAAATTCAGGGGCTTACTAGATTGATAAATGTACAATATTCCGCCTAAAAAAAATTTTTATCACGATTTTTCAATTAATTATGTAATAGTTAATTAATAATTTTTTTCTGCTATTACAGATAAAACTTATAAAAAAAAATTGGTTGTCTGTAAAGTCGGTTTACGGACGATAGTTTTACATGATAATGTCATAAAGAAAAATTGATGAAAAATTGCATACTTTTATGGATTGAATTGAATTATTATCACTGAATTATCATTATTTTGTATTTAAAAATTAAAAAATTTTGAATATTTAAAAATTATTTTAACAAAAAAAAGGACTTATTGATAAATTGTTAATCAAAAATTGATACAATAATTTGATAATTGATATGATTATTATTATTTATAATTAATATTAATTATTTTATTAATTTATCATTTACAATTATTATTAATTTATTTATTTATAATTGATATTCTTTATTAACCACTATTAATATTATCAACAATAATAATCTGATATAATTTGTTTAAATATAATCACGAACAATTAGTTATAGAACAATATTCTGACTGCTAGCTCTGACGTTACGCGAAAAGAGAGATATATATGTCATAAGCCAATGCTTGGGCCTCTCTATCGCTTGTTGCGCGCTCTCGCTTGCACTTAAAGGCTCAGGCGGAACGCTCAGGAGGAACACAAAAGCGGAACGGTCTGTCGGAACGCGACATTTTTTCGTGAGCGCTGTCGGTGTTCATCAATTTATAAGACGTTATCACGTCAAAATCATAATTTACACTAAAAAAAAATTTAACTTGATTCCAAAGAAAAATTTTTTAACCAAAAAAATTATTTTTTAAAAGCTTCATCGTTTTGATTGAGAAAAATTCTTTAACTGATAAATTTTTTGGCTTGATTGAAGACGATGAAACTGTTGAAAATGATTATTTTCTAAAAGATATTTTTATTTGCAAATATAATTTTCTCTAAATCACATATGGAAATCATTTCTACTTTATATTTTTTTTTTGTTTGCTTATTCTCTTGGTATCATTCAACTGTAATCTGCAAACAAAAATTTTTTTGGCTTTTCATAGAAGTTTAAGCAAGCGTAAAATTTATTTTTTCATGAGTCTGTGTAATTAAATAGCTAATAATACTATAAATCTATCATTTGATCAATTTTCTAAACTCAATATTGATGCCATTTGCAGCTGCAGTAAAAGTTGACCGTGAGTCTAACTTATAAATTTCTTTTGGATTCTGGTGGACATCGTACTCGGACAAAATCATTGAGAGCACAACTTTGACATGTAATTGTCCGACTTTCATACCTGCAGTTAACAAAATTAATTTTTTTTTTCAGCTATGTTAATAGAATATTATTTCTAATTTTCATACATCATTTACTTACCAACACACATTCTAGGTCCCGCACCAAAAGGAATGTACGCATCAGAAATTTTTTGGTCTTCGCTAAACCGATCAGGATTAAATACTTCTGGTTCGTCGAAAAATTTCGGATCACCATGCAAGCCATACAGGGAAATATAAATCGGAGTGCCTTTTTCAATGATAATGTTCGTGTCAGGTATCTAAAATACAATAATTATTTATCAGTACTTATCTTTGAATTATCTTTATTATTATTTAGATATTAGAACAAAATACAAATAAATATGATCCTGAAATCAGTAGATATTAAAAAAATTTTTGATTTTTTAATTAATTAAATTAGAAACAAAAAAAGTAATTATCAAAAATTGCACTTATAATTTTTTAAATATAAAATTTTTCTTTTTTATTTTTTGTAATAATTTTTTTAATAAGAAAATCATAAAAATTTTCAGATTTCTGTAAATTTTATTTTCATATAAATATGAACCAGAAATCAGCAGAAATTAAAAAAAAATTTATTATTTTTTTAATTAATTAAATAAGAACCAAAAAAATCACTATAAAAAATAAAAAAGAAAAATTTTAAAAACTATAAGTGCAATTTTTTGTAATAATTTTTTTAATAAGAAAAATCATGAAAATTTTCAAATGTCTGTTAATTTCATTATCATAAATAAATGAATATTTTTATTTAATAACGTACTTTATAATCTTGGAGAGTATAACGATCGATTGTAGAAACGGACGGATGCAATCTCACGCCTTCGGCGATACATTGATCCAAATACTTCATACCATTGAAAGCCTCGAAAGTCCATCCATGTTTGTCAATAGCTTTTTTTATGTCTTCTCGGGCACGGTCCTGATACTCTTTCTTCTTTGCTAACTCCATAAGAGTGAAAGTCGCTGTAGTTGAACTTGATTCAAAGCCAGAAAAAAATGTTCCGGACTGGAACAAAAGGTTGTCACCCTCCAACCCTGTAACATGTTAAAAATTTATGTTGTTATTTATTAATTTCTCTGTGTGAAAGTAAGAAGAAGTATGTAATATCTGGTACATTTTTTTCTCATTAATCGTATTGAAAGAGATTATCAAAGAAAATTATCAGATGAGGTCATGAGATACTGATAGATCAATTCGATTATTACTGATAAATATTGGACTGAGTTTTTAATTGATAATTAATTTTTAAATGGAAGAATTCAATGTCAAAAACAAATTCTAAAAATCTATATGAAAAAATTTTAATAGTTCTAATGACCATTTTTTAATAATTATTTATGACAATATAAAATTTATATTAGAAAGATTTAATACGCATTAAAGAGTGTGTGTGTCTAAGATTAGTATCAACTAGGAAGTTTCGTATCTTTTACAATTAAAAGAATTAGAGTTTGAAAAACTAACATACACGCTTTGATAAAAAAAAAAAAAACAAACTAAAATGTAGAAAATAATTTTTTATTCAAATTTTTTAGTTTGCTTTTTAATTACAGCAAGCTATTATTCATTTCAACGCAAAGTTGCATATGCATTGAAAGAAAATTAATTTGATTCAAGAGAAAAATTCATGGACTGAGAAAATGAACTTGAAAAGCTTTATTATTTTTATTTAAGTACAAAAAATCCTTGAAGTAATACATTTTTCTTGATTTAAATAAATTTTACTTGATTCAAAAATTTTTTCGTCTTAAATTACAGCAATGAAACTCTTCAAAGTGATTTTCTTGGTTCAATAATTTTTCTTTCAATGTAGCCAAATCTACTACGCAAATCAAACGAAACTTTGTATTCTACATTTGACAATTATCAATATCGTTTGTACAATATTGCCTCAAAAAAGATACACTGAGAGAAAAACATGGGCATTATGAAAAGAAATTAATTTGTTGAAAATTTTAAATAATTTTGTTTCTTAAATTAAAAAAAAAAAATCTTCTTGTTTGGGGAAAAAACAATTTTAGATTGACAACTTGCGAATTATCATCCGAAATTATTTTTTCCCCAAACAAAAAAATTACTGTGCAAAAAATTTTTTTCTTTAGCTAAGAAATAAAATTGTTTGAAATTTCCAACAAATTAATTTCTTATTTTAAAATTGCTCATTTTTTGCAAAATGAATTTTTTCTTTCAATGTAGTCTCAATACAATTTATTAATAAAAATTGTATTTTTTTTTTTCTGAAATATATGAAATCCAACGAAGACATTTATTGAATGTCTTTCTGCCTGGTACTAAATTTCAAATTTAAATGTGACTAATTAAAAATAGTTATTACCCGCACGGTTTTGGAAATACCGTAAAGATTCAGTATTTATACAATATAAATGCTATATATATGTTTACCGTCATACTTCACAGAAAAAAAAATTAGAAAAACGGTTCACCCTAAAGGCCATCCGTGTAACTTCCCGCTAATTCCATTCCTGGGGGCTTAAAATTGTACTTATGACATTTTTGAGATTTCTGAGCTCAAAATATACATTTATGTGATATTTTGAGCTCGCTGAGTTCAAAGAAATAATATTTGTATGCATTTGAGCTCTCCCAGCTCAAAAGTCTGATAGAAGTTTCATAGAACACTATTTTTGGAATTTTCAAACCGCAATAACTTTTGAATGGATCAACCAATTTTCACGCGGTTGGCACCATTCGACGCAGTTTTATCATCCTCATAAGTTATTTTCAGGTTTTAATTGATCGAACCGAAAATTTCGGAGTAATCCCGAAAAAAACACTTTTTTCGGTTTTCTTTCGTTCACGATATCTCTCGAACGAATCAACCGATTTTGACCGGATTAGCGCCGATCGGCGTGGTTTTTCAAGCTTAAGGGCGGATAAGTTTTTAAAGTTGATCGATCAAGCCATTTAAAAGATATTCCAAAAAAACCACTTTCAAAAATGATTTTTTTCTTATTTTTTTTGAGATTTTTCAAGATTTCTTAAAATCTATCGGTCCGAATCGGTTCAAATTCTCAGGATATCTAAGTTCAAGGGAACTCTTTAGAACGCCGTTTAGTTCGTTCCGATCGGTTCAGTCGTTCAAAAGTTATAAGCGAGTCACATAGTCACACACACACACACACACACACACACACACACACACACACACACACACACACACACACACACACACACACACACACACTGCGGCAGAAGAGAATGCTCACAGGCGCCGTCTCCCCGTAGC